CTTAAATTGTCCACTCGCACGAGTTCTCCAATAGTATTCCTAAAGGAGCCTAGATGCCTAACTTCAACAATCAACTAAACTTAACCACAACTTCTAAAACAAATGAGATATATTGTATACAATTTTGGTATTAAGCCATCCACAATTATCTTCAAATAGCGCGTTGACATGTATCTTACAATAAATACACTTTTGATATGTGACAATATATATTTTTTTTTGGTACAGGGACCTTCCGGTTTCCGGATCCACATGGGAACCGACTAATCCGGAACCAAGCCGGGTAGGACCACAAGGGCGACAAAGCTCTCCCTCAAGAGTTTCAACACTGCTGCATTCTCAGGGCTCGAACACGAGACCACTGGTTAAGCTGGAAGAGACCCAAGTCATCTCATCCAAGCGCTCTTGGATAGATATGTGACAATATATTAAGTGATGAATAACTCCATAAGAAAACCGGCCCATAAAATTTTTGATACTATATAATCTACTAAAATACCATAACTTGACCACCAATATCACATCAAAAATGTAGTCAATTAACTCCACTAATAATGCTAAACCACCGTTACTATGGACATAGTTTCTCAACGATTATGATTCTGCATATCCTTTCACGATCCGGCGATAAGAAAGTGCCCATTTACATTTCACATCGAGTGTCCCACATTCAATAATTGAATATCTGAGTTAGTGGAATAAGGTTAAGTTATGATTGGACATTGGTCGAACAGATCAACTTTATAAATGAACTCGTGAGTTCCTCATGATTATAATTCCGCGTGAGTAATCAATTTAATTAAATTTAAGATTGCCAATAAATTCCAAAAAAATCAACAAAAATATTAAATATAATATTTATTATAAATGATTTATGTGATTAGTATTTACTCAAATAATTTTGCAAGAATTAATTAAATAAATTTAAGAATACCCATTAATTCCAAGTGATTTAATAAAATAAATAAATAAATAAATAAACATATTATTTATTGTAAATAATTTATGGAATTAGTAATTACTCAATAAAAATTTAATAAGGGAACTGTTCATCTAAATTCTAATACATTCCACATGAAATTAAAGAAAAGAACAAATGTATAATTTTTTTGTACAATTGATTATCTAAATTCTTACATTCCTAACATTACAAAAGAAATGTTATATGCCAACGGAAAATCCTATGGTAATATATTTCAATGGTATATCTTCCGTTGGAATGCGTTTTTCATTGGAATTTTAGATGGAATCTGAAGATTCCAACGACTATATTTTCAACGGCCTATTCCCGTAGAAATTTATATTGGAATATGCAATTTTCATTGGAATTTTTACTTTCATCCCCATTGAAAAATCTATCGTTGGAATCGTCAGAATCCAATGGGAATTCCAATGAAGAACTCGTTCTAACGGAATATTTTTGTTTGAATTTTCGTTGGAATCCATTGGAAAATTTCAACAGAAATAATAGTTTTGTAATAGTCATTGAAATTGCCGTTGGAATAATTCTATTATAATATATTTTCATTAAAATTCTATCATTTCCTCGTAGTAAAGTAATTTAAAAAAATAAATATATTATTTTGTAACTTATGTAATTAATAATCACTTGACAAAAATCAACTATGACAACTATTCATATAAAATTCTGATACAATGGGTTTGTGGGAATTAACTTGGGCTGCCAAGCTTGTGATTCAAACATGACTTTTTAAGCCCAATTCACTGAAAAACGTTCCAAATGGACAAACCAATATGAACACAAAAAAGTCATCTAAAAATATACCTGGATTCGATAAAACTAATTCCAATACCTTTCTTTTATAGCCACCAAAATTTTGTGTGTAATTTTCAGAATCTGTATTTCAATATTTCATAAGCCTATACTCTGTCTACAGTAACAGTAGAACACCTGAATATTATACCATATTAATTAAGAAATTTTTACATAATATAAAATTTTAAACAATTTTGAAAAATCGGCATTACTATTTTATTTAAAATTGACATTACCACATATACTAACTACTATAATTATTAATTACTTCAATTGAAGAGTTGTCGGTTCTAGGTGGAGCTCTGCAGGTTCTCGGTTTGGTTAATGGCAGCTCCACTAATTTCTTCTATGCTTCTCGGGGCCTTCGACAGAGGGCTCGTTGCTTTGACGCCTTCATCCGTGATAACTCCAGGATGACCTACCGCATTCATGGCTGTAATCCTCCTATCTCTCACCTCTCTAATGCACATGACATCATTATCTTCACTCGTGCGGATGATGATGGACTGATAGAGCTTATGCACCTTTTGGAGCATTTTGCTCGGTCACCAGTCAGCTCGTCAGTGCGTAGAAGAGCAGCTTCATTCCCCCCCCCCCCCCNCCTTTTTGTGGACCGGTGGACGCAGCGGGTCCACGAGCGCACTGGTTTTGCACGTGGTGACCTCCCCATCACCTACCTCGGCGCCCTTCTGTACAAGGGTCATCTCACGAGAACGCTCTTTGTAGACGTCAAGCAGAAGATGATCGAAAGGATCTCTGATTGGTTGCATAAACGTCTCTCTTTTAGGGGTCGGCTCGCGTTGATCAAAAGTACCGTAAGTCGCTTTGGGCTCAGTACCTTCGCGGGAAGTACTGCATTAGAGGTGTTCGTCATCCCTGCAGGGTGGCGACCACTAATTTTCTTAGTAGATAGTGGAGGCGGCTCACCAGGGTAGGTAGGCGTGCCCAGAAGCACATCTTTTGGACGCTGGGTGAGGGTCTCTTTTCGAGCACTAGGCAGGTCGCTCACTCCCCTTCCCTGCAGGTGAAGGACTTATGTACCAATGGGATATGGGATAGGGATAAGTTAGAGAGAGTTTTGGGTACTCGAGCGGGTTCTAGTGACCTTTTGGAGCAGATCCAGCAGATACCCATGTCGGAGAACGGTTTTGACGGTATGAGGTGGGAAATTACATCTTCGGGTTTTCTATGCGTCCTCGGCTTGAGAGGAAGTTCGACAGTGTGACCGACCTAACCTTCTATCTTCCTTTGGCGCCTTCTTCTGCGCCGAATTATGATTGACTTTGTGTTGCAGGCGAGGGGTTTTCTTTCCCTCGCGGTACTTCTGTTGTACCGAGACTGGTGATTTCCAGAATGAGGCTTTTTCTCATTTGTTTTTAGAGAGTGAAGTTGCAAGGAGGTGCGGAAGCATTTTGTCATCTATACCCATAGACTCCTTCCCACTACAGACAGTTTCTTGTGTGCTCCTGAGTTTTTTCTCACAACGCACACTTTAGACACGTGCCTCATTCCTTGTCTGATCATGTACTTCATATGGGCAAAGAGGAATAGTGCAAAACATAGAGATATTACTTTATGTGCTCTCACGTTGTTTTGCAGATTGATCGACATATTTCCCTCCACACAACTTTGGGCAGACTCACGCCTAGAGACTGGATAGGTTGTACTTCGCCCCACCGTTTCATGTCGCCTCCACTGTCGCATGTCCAACACCCACGGTCCAGAGCCGTTGTTTGGCTGAACCTCGACTCCCCTTAGGTTAAATTGAACACTGATGTATCCTTCGACCGACTCACGGGGATCTAATTAGGGATCACATCTGAACCCTTTCCATGACCTTGAAGCCAAGGACAATTTGAGATATCCTTCAAGTGTTATTTGAGGAGAAAATTTTGATCATGCAAGCCCTCATGGGATTTTTTATCGTTGGATCACGCATACACACATTATACGGTGATCCAACCGGACAAATTAGATCACATACACATATAAGCGTATATTAATCCAACAATAAAAATCTAGGGCAACCAAATCATTGTGCACCTCGTGTGGAGTGATTTCTGGTAAATTCATATATCTAATGAACTACCAATTTTAAATTCTAAAAACCATCACCTCCACACCTTGTGAAGGCTAAATCAAATCACAGATAGTTTATCTAACTCAATTGGATTTCAATAAAACAAAGATCCAAACCAACTCAAAAATGCATCTATTGCCAAACCTGACCTTGAAATCAGATTTCAGAATAAACTAGCAAACACAAAACCTGCAAAAGGGGAGAGTTCCATTGCTAAACCAGACCTTAAATAAAACCAGATCAGAATAAATTAGCCAACACAAAACATGGAAAATGAAGTTTCATACCCCACGTTATAAACGTCAGCGAAGTGTTTCCAAACTCTAGAAAAAGAAAAGTGATCCTTCATGGAAAGAAATAAGCAACACTAGTATCTCTTTCAGTTAATAAACAGCGATAATTGTCATTAACACAGCAATGTGGGTGACAATTATGAACTCCAGAAAAGGAGGGGGAGACAGAGGGAGATAGAGTGTGAGAGAGAGAGAGAGAGAGAGAGAGAGAGAGAGAGAGAGAGAGAGAGAGAGAGAGAGAGAGAGAGAGAGAGAGAGAGAGAGAGAGAGAGAGAGAGAGAGAGAGAGAGAGAGTGAGATAGAGTGAGAGAGAGAGAGGGAGATAGAGAGAGAGAGGTCACACTGTAGCAAAAAAAACTCTTAAGCAGCAGCTAACACTCAATAACCTCACAATATTTAACCAGTAGCTAATACTCAATAACTTCACAAGGACTGCCAAATCTTCCCACAATATTTAACTAAGAAAGCATAAAACGAAAACGCTGTAAAAATACCACTCTGGCTGTTTACAGCAAAGGAAGGTATCTCAAGATAATTAATAGCACGAACATGCTACTGTATTTACAGATACTCTTTACAGTTTTCCCCACAAAATCACCTTGCATGACCAGAACAGCATCAAAAGGTCCGAACTTTGTGGCCCTCATTCAATCTACAATTCCGCATTTCCCTATGTACACAATATCAAGGAAGAATCTTCCGCTAGAAACAATCTTAGTAAACAATTCTCAACACTAATTTTACTTATTTTAGGTTGCAACTCCCCACCCCCACCCCATAAAGACAAAAAAATTCTTTTATTTTTTGTCTTTTTCCCTTTTTTCCCCTCTATATACTGTCAATGGATATTCTACACCATGGCAACAGCGCGGGTATTCGGGCAATCAAAGCCTTCAATTCTCACGGCTGCTTGTTCTTTACCCAACTGTTCTCTAGCATGATGAGCTGACTCATCTGGGGAGTTACGAATGGAACTTAGCTTATTTGGGTCAATCCCAAAACGAGCATCTTGCACTAAAGGATTCGAGGCTCTGCATGGAGGGGATCCAAAGAAAAACGGAGGTGATACCGACCTTTGAAAATCATCCTGTAAGAGAACAGATTTATATTAGGCTCCATAAAATTATCGCTTCGTGTCAGTGGTGCATATAGAAACTAATTTCAGTAATCTTTACTAACTCGGTTTGCTGATTTGTAACTCGATCTACTTTCAGAGGGGAGTAAAATCGTACTTTCTTGACGAAATCTAAACTAAATTCACCAAAACTTGGCTAGTAGTGTTTTAAGTTCAATGTTATCTTGTTCAAATGATCTCTACTGAAATCTAGGATAGGAATTCCTGGTTTAACTCATGCTAAATGATTAAGACTGTGGTTTTATACATGTAAAAAGAAATCGACATCACATATTCATCCAACATAGTGAAATTGAAAAGAAAATTTGGATGAACTATCCAAGTATTTATCTGCACAAGCATTGGTAGAAGCTTCTGCCTGACCAATTTGGCAATCTTAACCACATAACTAACTATTAGCATGTTAAAACATAAAACTCGTTTACATATAACGTACCGAAAACCTCGTCAAGAAAAACTAAAAAAGAACACTGGGATTTTGAACCATATTAGCAAACATGGATGTGAAGCGACTGCATACAGATTAACCAATTAAGGAAGATCTTCAAGCGCGACGCAACACAACAAAAGGGGGGAAATAAAAACCCTATAGCTAAAATCATCAATCAATCAAAATAAATACAGACATGCCTGGCTACCTTTAAGATTAAGCCAAGCAATTCAGAACCCGGTTTCGACTCCGCATCGTCACTGTTCAAGATTAATAAACTTCAACACATTTTCTTCATCAAAATTGATAAAACCTAAACATGCCCAGCGGAATAGATTAGGAAAAGGAAAAGGAAAAGGAAAAGAAATACCGCAGGCGAGATCTCAAAGGAACCACCACGGACGGCCCGGCCCGACGAGGCTTAGGGCATACAACCTGACCCGTAATTGCTTTTGGGTCTTTGCAGCAATCCATCTTCTCCAGTTCTTCACACGAAAGACATGTGAATTTTGCAAGACAAAACTGAGCGAGGTGCTATTTTGGGAGAGAAATAGGGTGATATTTCTGGGGAATTAATAAAAACTGTTGGGAAATGTTTATAAAGGGAGGACGATGAAAGCAATGACAAGTGAAAGGGCTAACTTGGAAATATACTTATCAGACTCATTAGTCTATAATTATAACCGTGTAATCTAAATTCACTAAATAATCTGTCGGGAAGCAAAAAATAATAATATAATGGAAGAGAATCACATTCTTGAATTTTGGGTTGTGCTTGGATATAACTATTGGCTTCGACGTTAATTATAACCGTGTAATCTAAATTCAGTAAATAATCTGTCGGGAAGAAAAAATAATAGTACAATGGAAGAGAATCACATTCTAGAATTTTGGGGTGTGCTTGGATATAACTTTTGGCTTGGACGATAATTATAACCGTGTAATCTAAATGTGGTAAATAATCTGTCGGGAAGCAAAAAATAATAATACAATGGAAGAGAATCACATTCTAGAATTTTGGGGTGTGCTTGAATATACCTTTTGGATTGGATATTTTGGTTTTAATTAATTTTTTTTAATATAATTCATTTTGAAAAAGTTGATTGTATTAGGTTTGAGTGGAATTTTGAGTTTGTACTAAAATATTTTTTAAAATAAAATTATAAAAGTTGATTTGAAGTAAAAATTAGGAAATAGATCATTGGAAGTGAATATAGTTAAAATTATGTGAGTGGACAAATAGTAAACTAAAGTTGATGTGATACGTGAGAATGATTGATGATATTAATTTTCTTGTATTTGATGATATTATTTAAATATATTAATAATATCGAGGAGAGTTGGAATTTGGTTAAATTTGAGTTGTGATTGGAAAAATTCAATCACAACTTTTATGCAAGAACTACCTTGATAGTCCGCCCGTCATACACAAAAGAACCACACACACACACACAAACACACCATTTGATTTGTCCAATGAACAGTCGAGATGCAGTCAAATATAACTTAAGGTGCATTGACTATGCGGTAGCATAGTCGTAAATAACTCCATGGATAAGGTCAAATGCCTATGTGATAGGGCATTATCGTCTTGCAAAACATCAGAGGGGTAAATGGTTTGATTTCACCCATTAATTGCAATATCTAGATCCACGATTTACAAAGAAGATGCTTGTTGGGCAATGGCGTTGGTTTTTCAATTATTGAGGGATTTTGAGCTTATTTTCTCCTCTGATTCCATGTGCAAGTAACGGTTGTCCCTATTTCAGATTTTTATCCAGTTGTTGAAGGAATAATCGCTTGGATTTCATACAATTTAGTATTAATCATTCGAGATGATTCTAAAAATGGGTAACTCTGCACAACCGAAGAAACTAGGTAAGATTACCATTAATTTCATCTATACTAGTCGGTTTTATAAAAGTAACATTGTTCGTTTCATTATTGATAGAAATAAAACAAATAAATAAATTTGGGTATATCTAGTTCTGGTATTTAGGAAAATTTATAGAAATTATTAGGTGTATTATGTTTGTTTATTATGTATATCATTTTTTTTCTTGCATTTTAATACTAGATATTACTCGAGTTGCTCAAGGTTTGTTCTAAATCTCAATAAATATATGTTTTCTAATATGTAAAAGTCTGACATGAAAGATTGACTAAAGATACCGGATATAATTTATAGATATTAATCACATTCAACTAAAGAATCTATAAAGATTCTGACATGCATCCGATAAATTTTTAATGTTGGTCTGTAGACGTTTCAGTCTAAATTCTAGTCACGGTTTCTATGTTTCAAATCCATTGTCAATCTCGTGTCGATTGGTAACATATGTCATAAATATGTTTTTTCATTTGTATGTCCATAAGATGAAGGACATTGTACCTTAACAACATAGTGAAAATCATGGTGAAGGAGGTACAATCCAGACTGTTTTATATGTTTTTTTGTCACGTTGCACTTTAAAGTTCTTAGTGAGTATGAGTGCTTTTAGTTATAATTGTGTATTTGCAAATAAAAGTGTTGTTGATGTAGGTATAACGGATATATCGCCTGGTGTTTGGAAAGGCCTATGCTTTAAGTAGATATATTAGGATGGTGTTGTAATTTTCTTCAACTCTCAGCCTGTAAGTAATTTTTTCCCTTCATTTCTAACGATTGACCTCATTTGTTAGTGACCCGACGTCGTACAAGCCTGCCCTTAATACAACAACTCGACATTTTCATGATAGAATGCAAGAAGATAATTATTTATGAATTATTCAAATAGATATTTTTAAACTTAATTTAGTTTATTGATTTTTCATTTATATATGTGTGTTTAAACTCGTTGTGTGTTATCCAAATCCAGTGTCGAAGAGATATCTTGATGCACCATAATTAGCAGATAAGGATCAAACGAAATGGCTGATAACGACTGTAACACCCCACCTCATTAGATAAATCAGAGTTGCGCAATTAATTCGCAAAGTCTTTGAAAACTAATACATTTTTACTTTGCGAAACTGATTGGGGTGCTACCGTGAAAAATCTTTACTTAACTTTAGAAAACCGTTGTTTTAACTTTTTTAAAAACGCCCGGTTACTGAAAAAACTGTGTTATCTGAAAAGTTTATCAAAATATGATAAAACCGTCAAAATCATTAAAGCATCGTCAAAAGATCGTCAAAAGTAAGCGGAAGCATAAATTTTAGTTATACAGTCCAAAACACATATATAAATGTCCTGAAAGTCCCGATCTGCTCCCGTCACGTCACGCTCCCGGCCCGACCTGCTGACCTGAAAAATAAGATACAACTGGGGAGTGAGCACTAGGCACTGTGCTCCGTGGAAACTCGTACTAATGTAAAACATCGTAAATAATAACAATATCATGAACTAAGCATATATATCTGAACTGAACTGATACCGGTCTGAACTAAAAACCCTATAGCTAAAATCATCAATCAATCAAAATAAATACAGACATGCCTGGCTACCTTTAAGATTAAGCCAAGCAATTCAGAACCCGGTTTCCACTCCGCATCGTCACTGTTCAAGATTAATAAACTTCAACACATTTTCTTTATCAAATTTGATAAAACCTAAATATGCCCAGCGGAATTGATCAGGAAAAGGAAAAAGGAAAAGAAATACCGCAGGCGAGATCTCAAAGGAACCACCACGGACGGCCCGGCCCGACGAGGCTTAGGGCATACAACCTGACCCGTAATTGCTTTTGGGTCTTTGCAGCAATCCATCTTCTCCAGTTCTTCACACGAAAGACATGTGAATTTTGCAAGACAAAACTGAGCGAGGTGCTATTTTGGGAGAGAAATAGGGTGATATTTCTGGGGAATTAATGAAAACTGTTGGGAAATCTATATCTATATATATATTAAAAGCCAACCTATTTACTAAAAACAATAGCAAGAAAAGTCAACACACATTTAATGCATATTTTATTTAGAAATTTTTTACTATATGCATTAAATACTTGCATATTTACATTTACGATGCAAATATGATCTTCAACATTTTTCCTTAAATAATTTATGCAATGATTTTACTGATATCCATTATAATTAATATTTGTCGAGTAATATTTTTTACCCTTTATTTAATTATATAAATATTTTTTTTAAAAAAATAATATTATTTATTATTTAAAAGATAATGATCACATCATTAAATGATTTTATTGATGGTTAGATAATAAAATTATAGTTATTCTTTAAAATTTCGACATGTTATTTATTTGTATGTTATTGTCAACTATGATAGTGTTTTTATCACTTTTTTTGTTATGTTTAAAAAATGAACTTATTTTAAAATATTTTTCTATTGCATAGTATGTTAAATAAACTATAAAGCCTTATGATGAAAATTAGAAAAAATTTCTTGATTATGTAAGGGATTTTTGTTTTGGCAATTGCTAATTTTTTTTTTTTTTAAAAAAGAATTATTATGAGAAAATTGAATCCAAAAAAACATGTGTGTGTACTTTGTAAATATTTATACTCAGAATTTTATTTTGAATTTCATTACATAAAGAAGACTACTTCTATAACTTTTATAAATAATATTAATTACATTATATGACTGTAAATTTTATAATAAAATAATAATTGAGTATTATATGGTGAACAATAATTAATAATTTTTTTTTTTCTATATCAATGAATAAATATGTATTCCAAAATCAAATAAATATTAGTATGACGTGTTAGCAGAATTATATATTAATTAACATGTTAATTTTTTGGCTTAAATAAACGCCACGTATTAAAAGATGTGAAATATGGATGATCCAAGCCTTTTTTTTTTGTCTAGACGTACAAGTCCTATAGAAATAATTGATTTATTATATGTATCACGTGCATCGCACGGGGTATGCACTAATAAATGACCTTAAAATTGTGCACCCCGTGCATCACCCGTGTTCACATTTTGGCCTATTACAGGTCACGTACTATATATATCCCGTACATTTTTTTTATTCATTTATATAATTATAAGAATGGACAAATGACCTTAAAATTGTGCACCCCGTGCATCGCACGGGCTCTGTACTAGTGTTTATAAAGGGAGGACGATGAAAGCAATGACAAGTGAAAGGGCTAACTTGGAAATGTACTTATCAGACTCATTAGTCTATAATTATATCCGTGTAATCTAAATTCACTAAATAATCTGTCGGGAAGCAAAAAATAATAATACAATAGAAGAGAATCACATTTTTTGAATTTTGGGTTGTGCTTGGATATAACTATTGGCTTGGATGATAATTATAACCGTGTAATCTAAATTCAGTAAATAATTTGTCGGGAAGCAAAAAATAATAGTACAATGGAAGAGAATCACATTCTAGAATTTTGGGGTGTGCTTGGATATAACTTTTGGCTTGGACGATAATTATAACTGTGTAATCTAAATGCGATAAATAATCTGTCGGGAAGCAAAAAATAATAATACAATGGAAGAGAAT